GGTATACATCATACACCTACAACCCCACTCGTCTAATCCAGGATATAAACTCTGCTTTATACATGCTACATACCCAAGTACAGCACAATAACAACACAATAACAACAACACACAACATACCACTCCCCTCACAAAAACTCGCACAGATCTCTCCTCCCTCCGATCACCAATTACCCAACGAGTAATTTAACCATAAACCATATCAGTGGGCCATGGAGCACGATAGCTCGCCGAACAAATCTCCACATGGCGTGCTAGTCGGTTCTACAGGGGAACTTTTACGGGTACCTGCTTGCACACCGGGATGAAAATTTTAGAAGAAACCTTGATTTACGGTGGTGCTTCTCTTTAAGGTTCTTTTTCTCCTCGTGATTGTGGAGATGCTGGGAATGTTAATGTGTTTGTTTGCATCTTTGGTGAGTGGAGTGTGTGAGTGGTTTGGGGGTTAAGGAGTGAGAAGTGGAAGATGTGAAGGGGGTGTTCATGCGATGGGAAATTGGATAGTATAGTTAATATTCTTCACGATGATCTGAGTGATTTTTGATTTTCAAAGGGGATTGATTCCCTTTGTTTGTTTGCTGTCACTGAAAAACATGAAAAGATAGAATAAGGTAAACCAAATATTAATTTTCTCCCAATCCATTACACGAATAATCGTGAAAAATAGTCTATAGCTGTCCTCGTTCATATACGTCTTATCGTACAGAATAAAATCTCAACGACGCATTTACTTTTGAAAACGTAGTCTCCAAGTAGATGTGACCAAACAAGTCAAAACCAAAATACAAATTTCCAAAAGTAATCCTCCGATCCCTATCCTGCGATATTCATCATTACACCATCGATTCTATAATCATCCTTCCTTCTCCACCCATCCCCTAGTACACTCAAATCTCTTACAAGAAAAGAGCAGCGGCACCAGCCAAAAGTCCGACCATTGGGATACCAGTAGCAGCAGCTCCGTTACCAGATGCAGATGCAGTGGAGCTGGAGGAAGAAGATGCGCCGGAAGAGGTTTGGCTAGCAGCGGAGGCAGAGGTAACCAAGCCAGTTCCAGTGGAGGTAGTGGTACCGGTAACAGTGGTGGATGAACCGGTAGAGGTGAAGGTGGAAGTACCGGTGGAGGTGGTAGAAGAAGCGGAAGCGGATCCTGAGCTCGAGGTTAGGGAGCTGGTTCCAGAGGTAGAGGCAGTCGAACTGCTCGAGGTTGCACTTGAGGAGGAGGAGGAGGAGGAAGAAGAGGTAGAGGTAGAGGTAGAGGAAGCGGAAGAGGAAGTAGAGGACGCACCAGTATAACCTGCAAGTGTGCTGCTTGCACTGGAGGCTACTCCATTGACGGTGAATTGTTGAGATTGAGCCAAGATTTGCTCTGCCTTTCCTGGGCTAACGAAGTTGATTTGGTAGTTGCCACCGGTTGGCAATTGGAGACCGCTAACACTCTCAGATCCCTTGCTGATATCGACATTGGTGAATAGAACATCGCTGAGAGGTGGGTTGGATGCCATGTGGACGAGGTAGATATCGACGGTTTGGGGATCAGTGGAGACTGAAGTCCAGGTGATAGTTTGAGCTCCCTTGCTGAGATCCCATTCTCCGTTGGTAGATGGGGAGGTGATGTTGATAGCTTGAGCAATTGCGAAGAGCGCAGTGAAAGCGAGAGCGTAACGAGCCATTGTAAAGGTATTGTGTTTTGTTTTGGGAGAATTAAAAATTGGTAATAGTAGTTGAGCGAGTGTTGATTAGATAGTCACGAACGAAGGACGAGTTGTGTATGAACAATTAAGATGTAACAGAAAAACGAATGTGTCTGTATTTTGAAGAAGCTGAGGCAGATGATGAGATTAAGAATGAAAGAGGACTGAGTGAAGTAAATGTAGTAAAATATACGAAAATCCGATACTCATCTAGGATAAGGTAGGATTAAGGCGGGAAACTATTAAAAGTACTTCGGGATTGGAACACGAGATTTTGAACTTCGCCCACTCGGGCAATATTCATGAGTTTCCAACATATATCCTTGTAATGCCAGTACTCTTGGCAGGTACCGTGTAACTAAGCCAGCATCTTTTTCTCGTTTGTATGTGTGTAGCTTGCTTTTTTCTTCTGTTTTTCTCAAAATTACCTAGGAGCAAATGGCAAATCTGATCATCTCATTAACCGTTCCTATGAGAAGAGGCGTGCTTCTCTCGTATTGATTTCTGACATGCCAAGTAACCGATTCAGGGGGAAGAAGATTACCGTATTGGGCGAAAAGGTGCAAAGATGTACCAAATGAGTAGAATACTATGCGGCAGGTAAACAAAGCTATCCATCCCTATACAATATCAGCAGAATAGTGACCGTTCTCTTCTCCGTCCTCTCAGCATGAGAGTTTTTCCCCTCTGGGATGTGTTGATTGCCAAGCTCCTCAAGAAGCTTTTACGGAGTAGATGGAATTAATTTCATTTGGAGTCCGTCGTATCAGAGGATTCCTGAGAAAGCTTGCAAGTTTGCGGGAGAACACATGCGGCGTCTTGCTTACAAATCACAATGTGATTGGAGCACGTAGAGTGAAAATTAATCGTTATCATTCTTACCGCAGGGGTCAAATGTTCGAAGAACCACTTATAAACCCTACCATCCGTATTCAAATTTCCATTTCCCGTCAACACCGAGCATTGAAATTTCTGGATAAGTGTCATAAGCATAATTTTAATGCTTAATGGTAGTGTGGGTGATGATCAGTGCCCTGATTCCCTGAACTCTTGTTAACAATCAATGTTAAGTGGTAGTGGCCGAAAGGGATCGGCATCGTGCATCCAAATTTCTTGCTAAAAGGCGTGCTAAACTTCTAAAAGGATGAGCAAAGTTGTTCTAAGAAGTCAAAGCAAGGGTGATAAGGGTGATAACTATCTAGTGATAACTGTTTAATCTACTCATCAGTCTCACATGAACCATTTTGGGGCCTGCTCGCTTGAAGCCTTTGGGTTTGAATGGTTGAAGAAGAAATCCGCAATTACGATGTCCAGTCATTTTCTCTCACTGTGGCACACCGATTTGTTGGATGCCTGTATCGTGTTGCATATTGTTTCAATGACTATTTACTCACCCGCTGGTGATGAATCAAAAAACTTCAAAGTGTTCCACAGAACGACGGGCTGAAAGTTGACAGCTAATCAATTGTTTTACCAGTAGTGGCTGTCAAGTTTGCATTTGGTTACATGAGGCTCTGATTTACGATGCCGGTGAAGATTGATGGTATTTCGAGCTTATCTACGAAGCCCTAGATAGATAGCCATAAGGCCGGAGAACTGCGACCCTTCATACTTAGCTCAGCCATGCAGCCAGCCCACATCATGAATCGTATAGAAGTACTTGCTACATGATCCATTTTTAAACCTCGTATCGGTTCTCTACTCATTCCAGAGCACATCTTGAACGTTTCCTACCTGCCATTATCGGGGTTTCCAGAAATCGAAATACATCATGTCAATTTACAATATTCTCATACCAATGATACCAACCATTTCCCCAACGCTAACAAAACACATGACCCACAGATAGGCAGCATAACCCCCAAGTCTTCCAATCACCCCATTGTGTTTCTCGTATTGCTTTTTCCCCGGCTACTTTATTGAATCTTTAAATCCATATCCCGATATTATAATCTGGTAGTCGAGTATTCTTAAGTCTCCCAAACAGACCCTTGAAATAGCCCATATCGTATTTTCTTCTAGAAGTTTGAAATCGCATAAGAGACATTCTCTCCGTAAACTCTATTCCGTCATTCTCTCCCCTCAACCCAACCCAAGCCCTTCATCTCGTATTCTACACCCACACAACCACTTTGCAGCCCATCGCGAAACGATTCTCAAGCCCTCTATCCTGACTCATTTCAATTCATCTCAACTCCATTCACTCTCCCGAGGAACCACAACCATCAAGACCATCCGATGCCGACCGACACCTTACCGAAGTTCAACTATAAATGATTGTCCAACCTCACCATGCTCTCCAAACTCATAACGGAAGAATTTCACAGATCGTCAGCTCTAGGATCGGAAATATACACCACCAGATTCACCGCTTTCACAATTTCTAATCACCCGCATCCATTTAAGATCCCTCTCTAGACTTCTTCACCGCAAGAACTCTCACCATAGCAGCTACTCAACAATAGAAATACAGACTGACACTCACAATGTGAAAAATACAGACATCATCATTGCCAAACACAACCCACAATCACAACGATGATTTTTCATCATCACCACCTCTTTATTCTCCTCTCCTCTCCATTCCACTCCCTCTGTCCTCTTTCCACTCCCGCACCATCATCCGATATTCATACCCATTCCTCCCCATCGCTTCTTCAAACCCCTAGAATCCCTCTCCTTCACATCCCATCCCATATACCGACTGCAAACGTGATTCCTGAGAGATCACTGCGTACCTTTTATTGTTTGATATCTCCTGTTTGATAATGGGATAAGGATCTCTGCTAGTGTTGAGTGCTCACTTTGTGCTTTGCTTGATTCTGGAGGAGGTTACTAGGTCGCGATGTACAGATTGTTATGAAAGGAGCTTGGGATTGATGGACTTGTTGGACTTTAGATGCCATGTTTGATAATTCAGATTGTAGAAGCTGGATTCTAGATTCCAGTCTTTAGACTTCTAAATATATTAGCAGATAGTCATATTCTACAGTAGACACTTGGACATGAGGAGGGTATAAATGGTGTATTAGAATAGCAAAATTAATAAATTTATTTGCAATACCGTGTTACGGGATGGAATATCTATCTAAAAAATGTCGGATTCCCAATGGGGTCGTCTCGAACTTTTGCTAACCATATCCTTCTTATCCTACCCGGGCCTATCCATTCCTATCCCGCCCCTAGATATACTTCCAAGCAACACCAATACACCATTAAGATATACAATAGATATACAATAAAATACAATCTTCCCCTACTCACCCCCTACCAACCTCAAAAACAAATGAAATAAACCTCCTTCCCCTAAACCAAATCACTAGCATCAAATCTCTGTCCCCGACTCGTCAGCGGCGTCAAAACCTCCACGATAGTCTCCCCAACAACACTTCTCCCCCTCCCTCTCCCCCTCCACTCCTCCTCCCCCACACTCCCACTCCTTCCTCTCCCCTCCCTCGAACTCTCCCTGCTACTCGCCGTACTCACACTCGAGTAACTCTCCTGTCTCCCATGTTCCGACCCCGCAATCGCATTCGCATTACTAAACGGGCTTTCTCTCGGACGATCAAAATCCACCGCGCGACCCTGGACACTCCCGCTGCGGTTTCTCACCGCGGACCCAGAAGATAGCGTCGGATCATAGTGCATCTGATCTCTGTCGCGCGAAATCCGACGTTCCTGTGTTTGAAGCGAGGCTTTGCGAGACATGCGAAGAGAATCGTGGGTGCGGGATATTTGACCATGGGTGTAGGCGGCGGAAGGAGTGCGGGAATTAGATTTATAGGCGGGACGGCCGCGGACGGGGTTCACGGAGCCGGAACGCGAGAGAGACGGGTCATCGAGGATAGATGTTCGGGTGGTGAGGATGGAGTTGGCGACGCTGGGTTCACGATAGTGGGTGTAGAAGTCGGATTGGGATTCGGGTTCGGAAGGCTGGGTGGGTTGATAGGAGCGAGGTTTGGTGTTGAGTTGTCGTGGTTCTTGTTCGAGGAGGGCGGTGGGTTGATAAGAGTTTTTGTAGGGAGAGGGGATGGCGGGGACGGGTAATTCGGGGGAGGAGGTTGAGGAGCGGTCGCTGTTGGAAGATTCTTCTTCGGGGGATGAAGATCGTGATCGTCCGGAGAATCGGGGAGGGAATCCAAAGACGTGTGTTGGAGCTGGTACTGTAGGGATCTTGGGGATCTTGGTTTGGTTCTGAGGCGATGGTTCGGCGCTGCCGTGTATAGATCCTGCTTGAGATCTAACGCTGGAGTGCTGACCTGCTAAAAACATGAAGTTGCGTGGAACCTCTCCTTGGTAATGTAGTTGAGATACCTCCTCTTCAGATCGAGTTCTGCTGGGGGGAGACTCAGAAACCGAGGGTCTCCCGAATTGAACTTCGACTGAGTTCGATTGTGGCTTGACCTCCTTGATTGGTGATGGTGGTATGTATGAGCCTCCAACATTAGGCAGAGCAGAGCGTCTGATTTCCGCTGCAGAAGGCTGTAAGCGGAGAGGTGACGGCTTATGTTTGATCGATTTGGGAGCGGAGACCTCGCTGGAACGTCTCGATAAACTAATATTACTGCTGCTAGCAGCTGATGGACCTCTGATAGCCTCAAGTGCTCTGGAAGTTTCTGTCAAGTCGACCGCGGTTGTTGAGGGTGGACCGAACATTGATTGGGCGGGAGAGTTGCTTCGAGATTGTGAAACACCCCCGAAGAAACCTCTCTCGATTGCTCGAACACCAAAGAGATCACCTTCACCAAGCTCCTCTACATTGAGTCTCTCCTGCGTGCTGTTTGCCTTCTCCAGTTCCTCGATTTTGATATTTCTTGCGAGCCTGGTAATACGTTTAGCAAAAGTAAATTCAACTGTTTGAAGCTTTCATCTTACTTTCTTTTGTTGAGCCATACTTTTATCAGGCCGGCGGATAATACGATGAAGATTGCACCACCAAGGACAATGCTATAGAAGATGTATCAGACACATGTATGCATGTATGAATGTTCATTGTTGAGAGACTCACCCGAACTTGGCAGACAAATCTTGGTTTCCAAACCACCCCATTATGAATAATATTAAATAGCTTTGGTAATTATGGAAGTCAAACAATGCCCATTGAGTGTCTCGAAGTTTAACATGCAATATGGGGGGAGTCTGGTGATATACAAAGGCTGAAGAAATTCGGATTCCTTTTTAAAGCCCCACAGGTCGACAACTAATGAATGTAAAAAGAAGCAAAAGTACAAGATGAGAAAGCAATCGTGATGAGCACAGCTTTTATCGGATATGCAAGTAGTAAAACTCCAACAGAATTGCACGAAAACTTAGAAGTGGTCAGAAAGGTCGATCTGGGGCCTTGGTAGAGAAATCGGAATCTATGAAGCGCGGACCGTGCTCGTACCTGACAGTCGGTTTTTGATGTTTTGCGTTTCAGATGGACGGTTTATTAGATGGATCATGGATAACCCAGACGATGAAAGTGGATCAAATGTGTCGTTCCAGGAATTTGGAATGGTAGATATTTTTGAGGTGGTGTTGAATGTTTTGTGAGTAAAGAGTGTATGGAATGACTGCTGAAGCTCGTCACGATGAGTGAAAGGTAGTTCCCCAAATATCGCTCCCCTCGACCTTTACTGATAGAGGTTATAGCCACAACTTGAGGTCGACCGATGTAGAGATTGGGGCCGTTTGATAATTATTCACCAGGAATGTAAAAGAGAGAAGAGATATTTGATGTAAAGGAGTGGATATTTCCCATGAAGGAATGGTTCAAGGAAAGAGTGACGAGTAGAGAAAAAGAAAATTTCCAAAAGAACATTTGAGATTGAGAGAAGATCAGCAGAGCTATTACAACCTTTTTAAAAAGAATACACGGCATCGACTAGATACCGTGCCATTCAATCCTTGAAGCATATTGGAGGTTGATGGCAGCACCCAGCATAAGTAGGGGCGTCTTCCAAGACCAGTCAATGGTCACCCACACTTCACGATGAATGTATAGATTTAGACACAATCATTGGAGTGCCGTCTCACATGGCGAAGCATGTTTGTTCCACAAATTCCATACTGTGTTCGGATTGCTCGTCTGGCCATGCTGTGGGGGGAAGCAACGCTGTGACTGAACAACGTCGGAATGTTTGTCCAATTTGAAGTGATCGCCACTTGAATCACTGGAGATGGAAGAAGTGCCCTGACGCTATATTTGACCAAGCGCGGGTGTAGATGTTACTAGATGAATTCTTTGGTTGCTCTTTGACCTTTTGAATGCTGGCAGTTTCGAATCATCGTTAAAATTCTTACTTTCGAACGGCGGTAGAACGGCGGTTATCCCTTTTAGTGTGTCGCACCAGCCATATCTGCATGACCCTTGTGGAGATCCAATTTTGGTGTAAAAGAGTCACCACCAACCGATTCTCTTTCTTCCATCAGGGCGCTTTCATGACCATCAAACATGTTTATTTTGAGTGTGTCTTGCTGGAGTGGTCAGCTATTCGACATCATTGATTTGATTTGTGGCTGTGATTTTGGAAACACCAGAACGCCATTCACGAATCAGTTGGGATGAAATAGGAGATGTTGATCAATGATGATGTGAGATTCCAAAACATCTTTACCTATGTCGTAATTCTTGAGGGTGCAAGAGCCAACCAAGGGATTCGACGAGATTCACGAGGAGAGATCACAGATTCATAGTGGACATCATAGTGGATCTTGAATTTCTTGGCTCCAAGTTCAGTTGGCTGGCACGGCTGGGTGGCTATACTCCGTCTCAAGTCCGTCTCGACTCTCGACGAGTCCGTACTCTGTATACTCCGTAGTAATCCAAATGGCGGGTGTCCGGGGAGAAGTAGAACAAACGGTATTTCATATACCGTATAATATATCCCCTCTCCCGGAAGCCAGAGACCTATTAGCCTGCTACTCGATGGTAAAGATCACAATAGATCATAGCTTAAGTTTGCCAGTTGACTGGACACAGAGTATCTGGGTAGTATCTATCCGGAATGGCGAGTTATAAAGTACATAGGCACCCTTACCGGTGCATTCAATGACATTTTTATGAGGTATAACGCCGTCCCATTCCCAAGCAATTGAAATGAGCTGTACCTTTACTTTGTTCGTGTGGTGTGCACAGATGTGTACCAATTTCGGGTCTGAGATCTCCAAAAGTATATCAATTCGTTTACCTTCCTGTGGCTACCTACCTTGGTATTGTAACCAAAATTCATACATTCGACTATTTGACTATTTGACCATTTGACCATTAGTATTCGACAAATAATCTTCTATCCTTGCAGTCAGTACGACAAGCCTCTGTACTACTATTATTAGCATCTTCTCGGTCTATAAGAAAGAGAGAAAAGAGCCTTTCCAAAAGCCTTTCGACCTTTTGAGTCTCTGCCAACAGATGTGGCCTGACCGTTGCGATGGTCTTTAAGGCCGAAAGTTATCTTCGCCAAAGTCCACGCCGTGACCTCTTCTTGCAAGGCCAGGACAGTACGCGGCGCGGTACAGTATCAACAAACAAGAAAACATGTAATTTTCATTTTTTAATCCCTCCATGCCTCAAATGCTGTTGTTTTACATGGATTCAATCTCCCCATTTATTCTCTATCGACAAAACTACCTCGTATTGTCTTTTCGTAAGCCACATGGGATTATCAATGCTGCTTGGGTCGTATTCTTTGGATTGGAAGGGTCTTCATACACCTGAGCACCAGGTCACAAACGTTCCTTTGCGTACAACTTCGTACGTAAATTGGACGGTACCATACCAATCACTGTCTCAGTGGACAGTGGTCCTTCATCGCTGTTTATTCGATCTTTAAACGTGAGATTGATGATGAAATTGATGAAGTTGGTTGTGGTTATGATGTTACCACCATTGCTCTCTTTGAAAGTTTTCATCGTTGAGCCCTAAGGGGAAAGTACAATCATGGATCTATATACTACGGGAGACGGTTCGTATAGCCAAGTATTATGTTCGTCTCTGGAATGATCAGCATCTTTTCATCGTCATTGCCCAAAATGGCGCCAGTGGTAGTCTTCTACGGGTGCCCATCGAATGAACGGAGAACTGGAGAATGCCAGAGAGACTGCTGTCTCCCAGGGGGAAACTCTCGAGTTTTTTTTGTAACAAATCTACAACGTCCTACCGGGTACCGACATTAAGATCTCTGACAAAAATCAAGTAACATATGAAGCGTTCAAGAGGCTCTATTTGCATTCCCTGTTTGTTTCCTGTGAACAAAATATTCCACAATGTAGACAGGTGTTCAAAAGTTGGATATAGTAAGACGTTAGCTTTGTCTTTAGGACCAGCTCTAAATTAGTAGCATTAAATTTTTCGCACAAAACGAATTGTGAGAAATTTTCTCTTTCGTTCATTCCAAACCTTTCATCTCCATTTCCAACAACATTTTCTTCAATAGTTCATAGATATTATCCATCTTAAGCAACTATCAATCTCATCTACTTCAATCAACACAACTATTACTTCAATATATCCTCTCATCTCTAGTCCTTAGATATATCCATCTTAAGCGACTATCGATCTCCAATACTCAAATCTTATCTACTTCAATCAACACAGCTATTCCTCATTCCCCGTTACCAGATCTCATCTATTTCCAAAAATCTTCGAGACGTCTTTGCAGCAATGAGTGAGGATCGCCCACTTCGCGTAAGAAGCGCCTCTCCGAGAGTGCGCCTATCAGGCGATCATTCGCGTCGTGGCAATGACCCAAATGTGGGTTTTGATTTAGAGGCATTCACACGTCTTGTCGAACGTATGAGAGATCCATTCACATATCCCGTTGGCACTGTAGCTCCTAGAGGAAGAAGCCCAGAACGCGCGACCACCACCGAGACACAGCAATGCTCAACAGGCAAGAATGTCCATGAGGACGAATACAACAGATTGTGCGAAATGTTGAGGGCTTCCCAATTGAAACACCTGGAAAGCGCCCGCAGTTTAATGGAAACAGAACATCATCTCACGGTTGCTTATCACATGAGACAAAATGGCGCCGAAGGACATACTGAGCAAGCACAATGCGAGAGGGAAGATAGTCAGCACGGTGGTGGTGCCAGGTCAGAGTTTGGGGCAGAAAGATATGCTACAGAAGGTGCTGGTTCCACAATGAACCCAACAGTCGGAAGGCGTAATTCTTTTGTATCTATCACGCCATTGGATCCTGCAGATAGTAATGATTCCACAATGAACCCAATAGTCGGAAGGCGTAATTGTCTTGTATCTACCACGCCATTGAATCCTGCAGATAGTAATGATTCCGCCTGGAGATCAACAGCCGGAACGCATGGCGGCGAGGACAACAATCCCTCCAATGAGCTTCCTAGTCACCTGAGGTCCCCTTACAAATATTACAACTCATATTGGACACCCTCATCGCCTCCCTCGGAGTCCTACCCCACATTCCCACGATTACCCTCGCGCAACACAACTTCGGCTCCGAGCTCTAAAGGAACTCCAAGCCCCCAGCCCTCCGCACCAGTTAACTTCGGAGCCATCAGACGCCTCATGCGACCTTATCTTTCTCCGCTCCAATGTCAACCCGGCTCCACAATATATCCCCCGCGAGCTTTTACTTCTCCTCTCCTATATCCACCCCGTTCCACATATCCATTAACATGGCCCAGCGTCAGCTTTTCCCGACCCGAACTCGAGCAATCCTTCCTCAGGAACGTAACCAGAAACATGGATCTCATCCCCAGCGCCCCCGCCTCCACCGGCCCTCTCCTACCATTCGAAGGTCCCAGCCTACTCCCCGAATCGTGGAAAATCATGCGACAACCCCCTGCCGACCCCCCTATCTGCGCGAACTCTCGGCCAATGTGGTCTTGGAACACCCCCGATACGCGCAACTGGATCTACCAAAACCTCGTCACCCAATGCGGCTTCCAGGAGTCCTACGCTCACAAGATCGTCATGGGATGGTTGGGTGGTACGGATACTATCCGATACATGACCTTGCTCGATTGGCAGGTACTTACCACCTCCTATGAAGCTGGATGGTATATGTTTAGGTTAATGCGACGTTGTTAATTCAAGAACTGTGCTCTGTAGGCTTGCGTGCGTGGTCAGTGCTTGGGGATTTCGATACTTGCGAATGGAATTCCCGTCTCTGCTTCATCAAACGGATATCTAGGATATCAGCGCAGCAAGTTTTGGGTTGGGGTATGGCATGGGAGTACAGGAAAGTTCAAGGCAGAGAATACTCGTGCGAAAAGCTTGTTAGTAGACAGTGTGTTTCTAGTGAACCAGGAGGTGAAGATTGGAGAACATCCGACGTAAACCACACGGCTCAAAGCAAGATACGGAGAGAAAAGATATAATGTAACATTACAATCGCCAATCTTCTTTTCCTCTATATTTGCATTGGGCACATTAGATGCACTGTCTTTACAATAGTAATAGCAATAGTAATAGTAACCATAATAACAATATAATTATCCACAAAATAACCAGCCAGTCTTCAACTCACCATAAGAACATCCTTAAACTTGCATATCTGCTTTATGTCGTAAATGTAATTCCGACACACGTCTCGTGAATATTAATACCATCCAATATGAACCTCTCTCTCTCTCTATATATATATAATTAGATCGTCATCCCCATCTCCAAACACCAGCTCTTCATCAATGAATTCCAACTACATTTATCAATACACCTACCCAAATATCTCAATACATCCATCCAATAATGCAATCCAAACGAGCACCTCACGATATCTTTTCCCGTACCCTCCCCAGAAGAAAAATACACCCTTCAAAGCTCAATGATGCGAATTCTTTTCTCCCTGCATTTCTCATTATACCATACCATCCATCCATCTCTCCTCACAATCCGTTTCCCAATGCAATCTTTTCCGAAGGTTTTCCTTTCTTTAAGCTTTACAATAACGCTATAATAGTAACAATGCTCTCATTTAATTCATGTCGGACCCCAGATCAAAACTTACCGCTTTATTAACCTCCAACCGCGTATGAGTCAACAAATATCAAGTGATTGTATTCTGATCCAATAAAGAATTATACATCCAAATCATCTTCACAGGGAACTACTATAAAGTCTCTCACATCGAAACAAACAACAAATTTATGAGTGTTCTTTTTCCTCGACAACATTGAATCTTTGCTAAAAATATTTATATTCGTAGATGCATATCAAACCATACATATGGACGTAAATCCTGACTCCTTACAATGCTAGCCACAACTCCCACATGCGAGACGTCACCATGCCTTCTATGCCAGGTATGTATAATGACCGCCGTCTTCTCGCTCGATATAATCCTTTTCAATTAATTCTTCAAAAACTGTTAGTCCTTGTATCCTCGGTGAATGTCCAATAGTAAATAAGAAGACTTACTCTCAATGTGTTTCTTAATTTCCGCCGGCTCCACGGCACCTCTCCCTTTAGTTTGATTGATAACCTCCGCCACCAAATTCTGATGCGTCATCGTCTTTCTAGACTTCATGATTCTAACAATCGCAGCTTGGGTTTCAAAACTTCTATCTTGAATAACTCTCTCATGCGTTTCTTTGTTCTCCTCCTTAGTCTCTTTCAATTGAATTTGATTAATCTTGATTCTATATTTTGGATCTGAGAAATTGAGATTGATGGTAAAAGTGTCGGTATCATTGACATCTCTGCCTTTAGGATATTTAGCCAAGGGCCGAATTTTGGCGCATGCAAGCGACTGGAGGGTTCGTTTTAGTTCAACATCGACGAGACCCGTTGCTTTAGAGATATCCTTGTAGGAAAGGTGACCGCCATCTTCAAGATCATTGAAAAGAACAAGTACTATAGCTTGGAAACCACTAACAAGAAGTTCCTTAACGCTTTTTTTGAACGTTGCTTTGACAACGCTGTGTGCCAGAGAATGTTTCCAAGTTAATCGGCGCCCACTGTGTTTGTGCTTATAATGCCGGTCGTACTTTTCAATATGTCTCGCAACTTCGACAGGAAGATTGACTTCGATATCCGGATAAGTTGGCCAAGCAGCAGACGAGAGGACACTAACTTGTAGATCCAGTGTTGTCTTGCTTGTATTGCTTAGAGACTGCTTATATGAGATCATTTCATCCCGAGAGATATCTTGATCTTTAAACATCTGTTCGAGGTTATGGGTGAAGCTGTTACCACATTCACCTCTTAACTTAGCAAGCATATTCCTCTCAGCATCTTGACTTGCACTGCGTGCCATCAACAAGCGACGTGCCAGATCTTTCTTGTAAAAAGCTTCAAATACGTCTTTCCCTTCAATGAAACGGAACAGCTCAAGACCTTGTTCTAGTTGACGGTCCAATTCTGCATCCTCATCCCCGGTACTAGCTTGTCCATTCTTCTCAGCCTCATTGCGATCTGTGGCATCAGATACCAGAGAACGAGGTACGGCCTTAAGTCCCCCACGCAGTAAACCATCCATGTATTTCGCAATCATTTCCCCAACTTTAGAGGTGTCTGTACCCCATGCCTTGGCAACTTGGCGGTCATTTATAAATTGTCCAAACGCATCCCGAAGACAGAAAGTAAACGTCCCATCTTTGTTGAAGGAATCACGGATGACAGTATCCAATGACCGCTTCAGTTCGAGCAGACGAACAACCATCTCATCGCCCCTTTCTTTATCCATTGCAATAGATGATCCAACATATTTTATATAATGGGCGAAAGGCTTCTTGAGCTGTGCCTGGATATCCGAAAGTCTCAATAGCTGGTATAAAGATTTCAATGATGCCATTTCTTTGTCGTCCAAGAGCTTAGATACAGCTACTGGTTCCAGGAGGACATCGGCGCGTTTGCGGACCAAAATATCGTGAGCGGTGTCAAGCAACGTTTTTTTGGTAGTGCTGTCAAAGTTGTATGTATCGCAACGGAGACTTTCTCGTCGTAACAGGTCGTCGCAAGAAGAGATATATTCTCTTAGTGGCGAAGAGCTCCGTTCTGATGCAAAATTCTCGAGGTAGGCTGAAGAAAGCTCTTGGAATCGTTCCTCGAAAAGGCTTGTGTATATACCAAGTATGTGAATTGTGGCGATGGAAGCTCGGAGAAGGGATGAATCAAACAAATCCAAAGACTTCCTATCATACTCTACCAGTTCACATATCCCCAGTATAGCTTGTGCTCCAGTTTTACTGATCTCCTTTCCTTTTAAAAACACGATTTGGCGAAATTGTCGTATACCCATATCTTCGAGTTGCGGAAGTGTCTTCGAGTTCAGCAGATATGATCTGTCGAGATAGCTGAATATGGACCTCAATAGAATCTGACCTCGGTGTCAGTATTTTTCTCTAGATTGGCATAAGTCTATTAGCAGGCCTACCAATTGGGTTCTCCATATCCCCCATACAGTCTCAACAGCCCGCAGAGTTTCTACCGAGCTGGAATCTCCTTTGCTTAAATATTTTGGTAAGAGTCCATCCTTGATATGTGTGTGGCATTGCAGTTCTAGATGTCTGTATAGTTGATCCGCCTTATCTTTTCCACGCCGACAAATCGATTCGACTCCACGACATCTGCAATATTAAAGGGTTAGTGATTGCCTGTTGGGAAAGATGAGATGCAGCGTAATTGACCATTGAGCAAGATTATCAGAAAGGGCGAGGAATGGAAGCAGCGGGATTAGAGGAGAAGATAGAAGATGCAAAGAGGATTGACAATCGGGGTGCAAGATGAAAGAGTCAATAAAGCTTACAGAACTTCCAATGGTGTTACTGGCTGCTCGTTGCTAAACACTGATGTCAAAGCAGCATCTAACTCGTTCCAGGTCTTCTTGAAATACTGCTCTCCATCATTTGGAGAACTTATCCTGAGGTTCTTAATCACCAATCTCTTCGCTCCAGTGTGCGGTTGAAAATTCGATGGCCTCGTCAAATCTACTACTCCTGGACGCGAAAACCCCATTGTCTTGTTCATGTTGGACCGTAAACCTGGACTTGTTGATGATGAAATTGACCTTAGCTTTTTCGAAGAATGATAATCAACCTTGGATGTACTGGGGGGCGTGTTCGCCGAGTTTGGATTTGGACCTTGAGGATCGCGATGCTTTCTTTTGGCTGATGAATTGGAGGATGTCGAGGAGAGATCAACTGCACGATCGTGTGAAGGCCACATCGAAGTGAAGTAAACACAAATGATATAATTTCGCCTTCCGTTCTCTTGTGAGGTGAGGGGTCGATCTTAGTGGCCGCAAAGCTCGGGGAGCTCCCTGGATTGGAGATTAAATGCTGTAACTCCTGCTGCAGCTCTTTCTACGTGTCAGATCACAACATTAATGCTGATGGTACATTAATGACGGATATACCTTTTCTTTTTTCCCTCTTGTAACTTGATATTCCCGTGGATGTTACATGAGGGGAAATATCGTAGAAATAGGAATGTTGCACGGGATGATGATATGCTTGGAAGGAAGCCGCGAATGGGTAGGTAGGTATGGATGGCAGATTCCAAGGTTATTACTGATAGGCGATAACGGCGATAAGAGGGTTTCTTTATTCCGAGGTTGCTCAATTGATGGATGATATACTCGTAATGAGAATGAGACTTGTAAATAGGTAATGGTGGTAGTTCAATATGGAGGTCAATTAAGCCACTATTCATACAGCTAGAAGAGAAAGAATGGCATGGACGATATGTTATGGTGATATTAGATTCCAGATTGACAGACACGAGAAATTTGATGATTATAGGATTTGATCAATTCATGATATTTGGCATTCTAAACTCTATACATGAGCACCAAGTCATCCTTCCTTTCTGATTAGGCAATATCATGAGCAGTTCCTCTATCACCGCCCACATCTCCTTGATACACAAAATATCCAATCCTAGCTCATTTTCTCAAGTGAAAGATCTCAGGGTGGGTCGTTTTTGGATGATTGTCTCTTCAAACTAACAAAACTATCAGAGGTCGAAAGGATAAAAGCTATAGAAGGAATTTTCAACTTACGTCGACAAAGCGAGTTATAGTCATGAGTAGCATGAATGAGTCTGATATATCAACGATGCTCTGCTCTGCGGAATCACTCCCAGTCCCA